TGGCCTTAAATAGGTCTCCAGTGGTCGGCTCGAGATATTTGATGATGGTGGGAGAATCAAAACCAACATATATTCCCATCCTCCTTTGAGGTCCCATTTTGGTTCTATGTGGTGGAGCAATGGGTACATAGACTGAGCACCCAAATGTTTTGAGATGGGAGATGTCTGTCTCATGACCCTGTAATAATTGGGATGGGGAATATCTATGCTCACTAGATGGTCGGATGCGTATTAGTTCAGCAGTATGTAATACTGCATGTCCCCAAGCTGAGACCGGGAGTTTCGACCTCATGAGTAATGGTCGAGCAATCCATTGGATTCGTTTAATGAATGATTCAGCAAGTCCATTCTGAGTATGGACATGTGCCACAGGATGTTCAACGGTCACCCCCATGGCCATACAGTAATCATTAAACGCTTGGGAAGTGAATTCACCAGCATTATCAAGACGTATAGTCTTTAGTGGGAAGTCTGGAAAGTGGGCTCGTAATCTGATGATTTGAGCCAACAACCTAGCAAAAGCTTGGTTCCGAGAAGACAACAGGCATACATACGACCAACGGGTCGAAGCATCTATTAGTACCATGAAGTACCGGAATGTCCCAGAAGGTGGGTGAATGGGACCACAAATATCTCCTTGGATTCTTTCCAGAAAATGCAATGTCTCTTTGGACACTTTTACTGGTGAAGGCCGAGTGATCAACTTCCCTTGGGAGCAAGCTGTGCACATGAGGTGCTGAGGGAAGACTCGGTTTTCTCGAAGGGTGTGTCCTTGAGAACTTTGGATTAATTTACGCATCATGGTTGTACCGGGATGACCAAGCCGGTCGTGCCAAATAGTGTAGTCTTGGAACCGGGCTTTGAGAGCATTATTAGCCTCAATCATACTGACCTTGGCATAGTAAAGGCCAGTAGATAAAGCGGGTATAGTCTCGAGGACTTGTTTATGGCCAAGTGTGATCTTAGTGATCAGTAGGGATTCTTTATTCCCTTCACCCTGGGTTTCTATGTGGAAACCATTAAGTCTGATATCTTTAAAACTTAAAAGGTTTCTTTTTGAGCTGGGTGAGTATAATGCATCTGGAATGTCCAGATGTGTGCCGTTTGATAACAACACATGGGCCTGGCCGTGGCCTTCTATTAAGTTCGAGCTACCCGCTATTGTGCTAATATTCGCGGTTTGCATGATTAAATTTATGAAATAACACTTGTCTTTGAGGATAGTGTGGCTGGATCCACTATCCACCACTATGATATCCTTTTGAGTGTTCATATCTTCAATTTAAACAAGAGGTATGATTTAAAAATGAGTAATGATTTAAAAATGAGTATCATAAGATTCATAAATTAATAAAATATCAAAATTTCTGAAAATAAATAGCAAATGAAAATAAAACAAATCCCCAAAATGAAAAGAAACAAAATCAAAATAAGCAAGTGCTCAGATGATAGAATCAATCGAGGAGATCTGAGGTCTCGTAGTCCATGAGATCGGTCGGCTCGGTGGTGGTGTCGTTAGCATCAACTTGCTGGGCCATGTTAGCTTCAGCAAGTGCTTTCCCATGTTTCTGATACAAATCGCAATGAATCTTGGGAGTACGACAGTTCTTTGTCCAGTGATTGAACATTCCGCATCTGGTACAGGTAGACTGATTGGTTGGGTGGGCAGGGCGGTTTGGTTTAGAGATACCACGGCCTTTACCGGAACCATAACTGAGGTTATGTCGGTTGCCACGTCCGTTTCCGCGTCCACACTTTCCACGTCCATTCCCACGTCCATTCCCATGTCCATGGCCACGATCTGAGGATCTGTCTCGCTGGACATTCTAGGATTCTTTGCGGGAATCTGGTACTAGAGCCGATCCCGGGGGCCTCTAGGCACTGTTCCTCATTAACAGGTCATTGTTTTTCTCGGCCAAGAGCAAACAGGATAACAAATCTTCGTACAATGTATGTTTCATTGCACGATATTGTTGATGAAGCACAATATTTTGGGTATGGAAGGTGGATAATGTTTTCTCGAGGAGATCATTATCAGACACCTCTTCACCACATAGTTTCATGATTGAAACTATCCGAAAGAGTTCGGAGTTGTAGCTCAAAATATAGTTTGGCTTTTTTAGAAATTCAACAAACTTTAGAAGTAAGCTAAGCATAATATCTCTTTCTAAAATCCCTAAATCGCACTCTTATCACTACATAAGATCATATCATTTTGTTAAACAAAACATATATTTCTTCTTTGAGTTTCTTTGTGTATATTATTTGTTATCGTTTTTTTCTCACTAATTTAGTTTATTTCTTTTTATATTCATTTGTCGTCTTTGGTTTCATCTATACTAGTATTTTTGCAACACTTTGGTGACGGATGGGTAAAAATGCTTCCGGGTATATCGGATACCCGACCCGTTTTTAAATTTTGTTCATAAAAAGTTTGTTGGGTCGGGTTATATTTAATCCAACTCATACACCGGATATTCCATATTTAATAATTTAGATATTTAGAAAATTGGATTAAGATTTAGAATTATGATTCTTCTATCATCTTTGTTTGATTTGTTTTTAACTGTTTTGAATCATCATCTATATATACATTTTTGGAGTACACTTAGCAAATAAATCCTAGAGTTGACACTTATTTACGAGAGAATGCCATTGTTTTAAATTTTTATCTATTAATTAATATTACAAAATATTTTCGAAAATATTTTTTAGAAACTATGGCTTTCAAATATGGTAACAAATTGATTTTGTTTCTAAATTTTCCTAAAACATCTCTACCTAATTTAAACATTAATATATGATTCTTCTTTCACTTTTATATGATCTTATAGTTATTTATTTTGAATTTATATAAAATACATATAATTAATAAAATAATAGATTTTTTCTGCATATTATGTGATTCAAATTTTTTAAAATGGACATATATTACTCAATCGATGAAGAAAAAATATGTGTACAATGTCCCACATTGCTTAAAAAATTGGGCAATGGTTCAGAATCATACTATAAAAAGGACCAAAATAATTCTGAATACAAAACAGAGTTATATGGTGGGACGGGTTTGGGTCGATATTATTACAGGACGGTATACCACGGGTGAAATCTAGAATTAAAAATAAAAATATAATTATATAATCTTAAATACTAAACAAACCAAACAATATTAACAAAACAAATATAACTTCAAATTCAAAATTTTTACCCGCAATATACCGCGGGTAAATTTTTTTATATAAAATACTATCAAATTATTATAATAGTTCATGATTATAAATGCTTGCCAATATTAACACTATATCATTTCTACACCTACAAATCTTCTAAGTACACATATTTCAACTATATTAATTATAATATAAAATAATTAAATGAGAATTTTTTTTAATATCAATTTAAAAATCCAATAAATTATAAATTATTATATAAAATGCATAAAATATAATTTTGCCCCGTGGTGTACCGCGGGTTAAATCCTAGTATAATACATAAAGTAAAAAAAAATCAATTTTTTTTCTGCATATACTGTGATTCGAAATTTTAAAAACGGACATATATTATCCAATTGACGAAAATGTGTGTTCAACGTTCTACGTCGATTAAAATATTTAGACAATGATTCAGAATCATATCATAAATAAGATCAACATTAATAAAATAAATGAGTTTTTTGGCCAGACGGGTTTGTCGAAACGAGTTTTTGAATCATCAATAATAAAAAAGATTAAAATATCATTAATCCGCCGCTTCAATACGGATAAAATCTTTAATTATTTTTAATACCACTAATATTAGACATATCAAATTAGTCTCATTTAGAAAAGATTGTATAAATCAAAAATTGTCCCGTGGTATAATGTTACTTAATAATAATTGTAAACTATAAAATATAAATGTCTTTAAAAATGATACAATTTATAAACTTTTATCTATAATAAATAATCTTTAAATTTTTTAAAATTACTATTTTTAGAAAACAAATTACGGGACAGGTTAAAAAATTTTAGGACGGGTTATATGGTGGACGAGTTTGAATCAACATTTATAAAATTTTATAATGTCATTAACATGTCGCTTTAATACAGATTCAATCCTTAGTTTATTAAAATATAAATATCTTAGAGAATGATACAATTTATAAACTTTATATATAATAAAAAATCATTTAATTTTAAAATCACTACTTTTAGAAAACAAATCATGGGATGGGTTATATTTCGGAACGGATTTATATGGCGAACGGGTTTGAATCAATATTTATAAAATTTTAAAATATCATTAACATGCCGCTTTAATACGAGTTAAATCTTCAGTTTATTAAAATATAAATGACTTAGAGAATGATATGATTTGTAAACTTTTATATATAATAAATAATCATTAAATTTTATAATAAAAACAAATCACAGGACGGGTTAAGAAATTACGGAACGGGTTATATTTCGGATTGGGTTTATATGGCGGACGAATTTGAATCAATATTTATAAATATCATTAACATGCCGCTTTAATACGGGGTAAATCCTCAGTTTATTAACAATTGTCTCGTGGACTCGTGGTATACCGTTACTTAATAACAATTGTAAATTATAATATAAATAAATATTTTATAAGGAGATACAATTTACAAAATATTTTTATACTAACTTTAAAAATAAATCATCCCGCGGTGTACCGCGGGTTAAAATCTAGTGTAGTTATATATTTATATTACTTCTTATATATTTGTTTTCTATACTCATGCATATTTTAAAGGGGTGTTTTTTTTATCTTTTACATGATTGTTTCTAATTATGCTATAAAACAACGGTATATTGTCTCCTACTCTTGTTTTTTTTTTCTCTTTGTTGCTTCATCATGGATGGTGTTGAATCCATACAAATATATGTTAACTAAATTATTAAATTTTCATGTTTTTTTCCCAATCCGAAAAAAGCCAAATACCAAAAAAATATAAACTGAATCCTTTACGTTAATCCACCCAATCAAGTTGACACTAAATATGAGAAAAGAAAATGTGTGTCCCTCGGGAGATTATGGTTTATCAAGCAAATCAGTTCAAATAGTATACGGCTCTCACTTACTAAGATGAAAATGAAGGCAAGTAATGAATTCACACGACAGCTTTCAAGATTAAGATTATTTACGTTCAGACAAAAACTGAAGTTGGACAAAATAAAAACTGAAGTTGGACAAAATAAAAACAGAAGTAATAACAGAAAGTTGCATTGTATCAAAAGTTAAAAACACCAATGTGCTTTAATCTTCACCTTCATAGACTTCATAGCCTTCAGAGTCTTCAGAGTCTTCAGAGAAGGTAATCTTGTTACCGCAAAATTCGCCCATCGTAGGTACCTTCTGTTTCTTCAGATTCGGTTTGGTCTCCAAATCATCTTCTTCTATCAGAAGGCTTTCTTGTCGAAGGTAGTCTTCGTACCTGGAATAACAAAAACCCTTGTAATCTCTCCATGTATACCAAAAAACTTCACCCAAAGTGCTATTTATAACAAAACTTAAAAGCCAAATAGTTAAATCCCTTACCAGAGCTTCTCTGCAAGGTTGTACCTAATGAAACAAAATAATAGAGTTAATTTTCTGTAGTGACATCAAAACTATAGCAATGAGTTAGAGAAACAAATATCCACATGGAGAATCAGTTTACCTTGGTCGGAGAGGGTATGGAGCTATCTCAGCCACGTCAAGAAAAATATCGCGACCAAGGAAATTTTTACCACACTTCTTTCGCAGTGCCTAACAATATAAAAGATTTAATTAGCAATCAAACACTTCCAAATAACTACTTGTATACTTTTCATCATTACTAAGCTAATAATGTTCACCTTCTTTGCTTCGTCAATAGAAGCAAACTGAACAAAGCCACAGCCCACATTCTTGCCCTTGTGATTTACAATAAGTCGAACATGAACAACTTCTCCAACATCTTTGAAGAAGTTGATGCTGTCAAATGGAGGATAAAATATTGGTCATGTAAACTCGCTCCAAGAAAGAAAGAGGAAATTAAATGTGCTACTTACATATGTGATATTACAGTTTGATGAAATAGATGGGTAACAAAGAGCGTCTTTTTTATTGCAGCAACTGCCTGAATTTAAAAGCACGTTAGCACGGTTCTAATTAAGGAGAAAACGACTTGAATTGCATACCAACAAAAAATAGCCTCATCTCAAGTCACAGGTTTCTTTGTGGCAACAATTCTTTTCTTTTTTAAAAGCCAAGTGTTTCTTCTGAGCCTGGCATATTTTGAAGATAATAAGAAGAGGTACCTCAACAGAATCAGGAGGTGTCTCATCTTCTTCTAACAGAAGCTTTTGTCGTCGAAGGTAGTCTTCGTAACTGAAATATCAAAAACACTAGTGAGTCTCCTTGTATACCAAAAACTTCACCCAACGTGCTCTTGATAACAAACTCAAGATGCAAATACTTAAATCCCTTACCAAAGCATCTCTGCAAGGTTGTACCTAATTCATAAAAAAATTATAGCATTAGTCTTCTGTAATGACATAAAAAACCTAGGAATAAGTCACATGTCAGGAAACCATGACATGGAAAATCAATTTAATTTGGGTTGTGGGTATGGAACGTTCTTAGCCACTTCAAGAAAAATCTTATGATCGTGCAAATATTCACCATTCTTCGTTTCCATGGCCTGCGGTATAAAAGATTTAATCATCTATTGTACTTTCAAATAACTACTTGTATATTTTCAATATTAGTATACACTGCTTCTCAAATAAATTGAATTCTTTCATCATTACTACAAAACTACTCTCACCTTCTTTGCTTTGTCAGCAGAAGCAAACTCAACAAAGCCATAGCCCACATGCTTACCCTCACTGTTTACAATGAGTCGAACACTAACAACTTTTCCAACATTTTCGAAGAAATTGATGCTGTAAAAAAAAGGATAATATATCAGACATGAAAAACTTGATTCGCTAAGAAAAGTGGAAATGAAGGTGCTACTTACACATGTAATAATTTAGTTTGGGGAGAGAGATTGGCAACAAAGAGCACTTCCTGAATTAAACAGCCAAGTGTGTTAGCACGACTCGAAGGATAAAAGGTTAAAATGCATAACAACAGCAAAAAGTAGATGCATCCCCAGAATAAGTAAGTCATCTTTGGACTTTGTGGCAACAACTGTGTTATAAAACAGTAAGCGTTCCTGACACATTTTGGAGATAATAAGAGCAGGTACCTCAACAGAATCTAGAGGTGTCTCCTCTTCTTCTGTGGGAAGGCCGCCTTCTCGTCGAAGGTAGTCTTTGCACCTGGAATATAAAAAACCCTAGTGATCTCTCCATGTATAACCAAAAATTTCAAGCAATGTGGCCTTGATAACAAACTCAAGATGCAAAGAGTAAAATCTCTTACCAAACCTTGTGATCTAAGCAATACCTAATTAACAAAAACAATAGCGTTAGTCTTCTGTAATGGCATCAAAACTCTAGCAATAAGTTAGACATTACAATAACAAATTCTCCATAACATAGTCAATTTACTTGGGTGGAAGATATTTAGCTCCCTTAGTAGCTTCCTCAAGAACAATCTTATGATCGCCCAAATATTCACCATTCTTCTTTTGCAGTGCCTAGAGAATAAAAAAAAACTCTAATCAGCAATCGTTCTAATTAATTTTCATCATAAGTATACACAAATTACTCTCACCTTCTCTGCTTCGTTAGAAGAAGCAAACTCAACAAAGCCACAGCCCACATGCGTACCCTTGAGGCTTAGAATAAGTTGAACACGAACAATTTCTCCAACATTTTTGAAGAAATCGATGCTGTAAAAGTAAAAGGATAAAAGAATCTCAGTCATGCTCCGAGAACGAAACACTTAACAGTGTGGTACTTACATATTTGGTATTTTAGTCTTGCATGGGATATTGCCAACAAAGAGAGTCTTTTTTCGTACGGCAGCTTCCTGAATTTAACAGCCAAATTGTGTTAGCATAACAACAGAAAAAGTACAATATATCTAACAAACAGGACACTATATAAATTTATCAAAAATTATACCTTCACTGAGATTAAATTAGGCTTTGTCTCCAACAACTCCATCTGCTCAGCAACATCTTTCGTTGTCTCCTGTTACATACATGAGTAGCCAGACAGTATAAATAAAACTGTTCTCAAAGGACAAGAGGACTCCGACGACCATCTTAGGTTACCTTCTCCTCGGATGTTTCCTTATGTTTCTTCAGAATCGTTTGGGTCTCCAAATTATCATCCGGCTTTCGCTTACCTAAAAGAGGAGCAGCAAAAACTTTATTTACCGATTTCTGGCTACAAGTGGCCATGGAGAAGATGAAAACAGCGACGGTTTATTTTCCGGGAAAGAGTTCGAGAGCAGCAATAACGAACCCTTGAGACCTAGGAAGGTGGTCTTTTATAAAACAATAATCTGGTTTGGGTCTGGGCTTTTATTGTTTGGGTTCATGTGTTTTGTTCCCTCGCCAACCTTATTTGAAAAGTCCTTTTTGGTCAACACTGATTGATGTTCATGCTTAAAAGTCGACTTTTTTTTTACAAAAAGCTAACCCACAACTGTAAATATCATAATAAAAGGAGTTTTACAAAAAGCTAACCCAGGCTTTTGTTACCACGGCAAAAAAAAAGAAATGGAAAAAACATGGCAACAAATGATTTTAGTGCAGAAACAGACTACACTCAACGAACCCATAGAAGCATTAAATTTCGGAAATCCCGTTTATGTCTTCTAGCTGTGATCGTGTTTCTTATCAGTCTGTCGTTTCTCTCGGACCAAACGTTGTAAACCAAAGCTTGCCGATTGGTAACGACTGTTATTTTCGGTTGTAGAGACTTTCGCTGGAAGGACTTTGGCTGTAGAAACTTTGACTGCAGAGACTCTAACTTTAGAAACTTTAACTGTTAAAATGTGATTGGTACCAACAAAACTGTAGAAACTGTGATTGTAAAAATGGTGATTTTAAATAAAAATAAATTACAACGAATATAAACCCAAACTGTGATATAACAACGAAATTCACACGAAAAAAATTTATGCGAAGTTTTTATACATTCATATTTCTCTATTTTTGTATCAAATGTAACATCTGATATTTTTTTATATACATAAGTGGATCTTAAAAGAACAGAAAAAAAAATCATTTGTAAATTAGTTAATACTTTTTTAAAATTAATTTTCCAACAAATTTTATCAGAGGTTTTCCTATATTGGAAAAAATAAAATAAGGAAAACCATTATTATTTATTCTTTTTAATTTCATGGCTTTACAAAAAAAACTTAATTCAAAGAGGAAATAAAAAAAGAAGGACTTTGGAGGCTTTAAAATTATTTAAAGCCAAAATAATGTGATTGGGAAAATAAAAACTTTAAAACTTTTCTAAAGCTTTAAAAGTGTTTACTAATGACCCCAATACATAGTTACATAATCAAAATGATGGGTTTTCATAAATAATAATAATAGCCCATAGCATATATCAGATAGGCCCAAATTTTAATTAAGAGATTAGTGAGAGTGTCATTCATTTACACCACTGACAAGGTGATAGATATTATGCATACATTTTTAATTTTAGATGATATTGTTGTAAATAATCTTAAATAAAATAAACTTTAAAATTGTCAAAAAATCCTCAAATTTAATTTATTTTGCATATTAATCACTAACTTTTGTTGAATGAGCCAGATTAGTCATGTCGTTAAATGGTTTGATGAAACGGTTTAGAGCTCCTTTATCTCTACCAACTTAACAACTGAACTAATTTGGCTTGGTCACTAAAAATTGGTCATATAAATAAAAAGTTAAATCAAATTTGGAGATTTAATGTGTCTATTGAAAATTTTATGCTTTTTCAATCATCTTTAAAAACTGGCAATTTTATTGACATTTTCCCGATATTTTTATAGTTAATATCGATATTCAACTAATTTCAACTTATATATCCATCTATGAAATTCATAAAATGAAATTTTGAAATAATAACCAAAGATAAAAATCAAATTCCTATTTGTAATTTTTTATCGACAATATGTATTATGTCATATTCAAATTTGGGTGCACAGTATCGATACAATACTTTAGTTTAAAGCTGATTTCTAAATTAATCTTCAAATATATATTTATCTTGTGGTAGTTTAACTTCATTGTAATAGATTACTCCATTTATTCTACGTAACTTTTTCTTATATTTTTTTTTTGTAAACCATTACTTAAATTAAGGTAGCTCAAACTCCATAGATGGAGAAGAAAATACATGAAGCAAAGATATTTTCAAAACGCAACAACATAATGAAACGAAGATGGAGAATCTTGGTCTTTATACGTTTGATATCAGCAATGAAATCGTCAACTGCAAATGCATGGCCACCGACATTGAGAAGAAGGGGGAGTTCTTGCCAATCCGAATAACAAGCCATCCCTGAGACACCCACCGCTAAGGCCGCGTTGATCGCCGCCTTCAAACCAAGTTCCTTCGCTACTAGAGCAAAAGAGACAACGGGTCGAAAAGATGATCCAAATTAGATCGATGCCTTAAGTAGGTCCTCCATGAACAACCCCATTCTGTAGCCAATGGACTTAGTCATCCATGATGCGTTGGGAAGACATGGCAAGGTGTCTTGATGCTCTTCTATCATCTGTAAAGGTTACTGGAATGGTTGGGAGATTTTATCACAAAGGACCTCAAATTTACCACTATCCTTAGCCACAAAGAAAGTTAAAACAAGCCTAACACCGTCCTTAAAACAAGGAAAATCGAAGTCACCATAGAAGTGATCCGAGAGATAACCTGAGACAAACAGATTCACACCAAAGCCATAACCAACAATCAGGGCCGGCCCAAGTCCTTTTGTTGCCTAAAGCAAAAATGAGTTTGGCCCATTAAAGAAAATCTGTTGGAAAAAAAAAACATAAATTCTGTCATAACTAGGCTCGAACTCAGCACGTATAAAATGACAGTTAGTAGCGCTGACCACTATAACACAGACATTTTTGCAAAATGATGCCCCAAAATTGGTTAATAACTTCTGATGCCTAAAGCCCTACCTTCACCAGCTTTAGCTCCGGGTCGGGCCTGCCAACAATCGCCAAAGATTGTCTACAAAGATGTCTACTTCCGATAAGAGACATTACATCCATACCAACAGAGCTTCGATCAAATCTATAAGTCTATCATCCTCATATTGAGTTACAAACGTCATAAAGAGGTAAAAGGGAACTATCAGAGGATCGTTTCTATACCAATGGACAACCCACAAGAGGGTAATAGAGACCAAACCTTCTGACATCAAGTTGAAAGGGAGGGGAGACATTGGATGCCGAGGATGCTCGTTGAAAAGAGTACATATATGGCCCTTATCCAAGGAGAATCTGGCGAGAGCTGCTTCGAGAATGGGGTGAGGCGAGTGAGACGACGAAGTGGTGACGAGAGCCTCTAAGCATCTACGTCTTGGCGGCGGATCCGGTGGATCTGGGGGTTTTGGAGGGTTCGGTGAGGTGAGGAGGGTCGACGGAAGAAGATGTGAAGGCTTTTGGGATACCATCCAAGAGGAACCAGCCATCTCCCCGGAAACAGAAGGAAGACACATATAAGACCGGAAGAGTATCGGAAAACGCCGGACCATGCCGGTAAGAAAACGAAAATACGCCAGAAAACGAACCCGAAACTTTATCGGAAGAGAGCCGGAACGAAACCGGAAGACAGCAGAGATCGCCAATCTAGTGGAACGCTGCCGCCGAAGGAGCCTCACCGGTGAGAAAAGCCATGGAGAAATCTTTAATCGGCGCCTCAAACTGCGGGTCTGGGAAAGAAACTAGGGCGAACGATTCTGCTTTGTCACTTTTTATACATTTGATGATAAAAAGAGTGTAACTTTTTCGTTTTTTTTTTTGTTTTCCACTGAATTTCATTGATAAAAACAGAGTAATACGAAGTTGAAGAGCACAAAAACCGGAAACAATAACGAAACAAAACAATTAAGAACAGAGTGATAAGAACTAAAGCTTAACCGTGTGAGCGACGATCTTTGTCAATACGATCTTGGAGCCATGAAGGTCCTCCTAACGCCAAATATGAGGTGAGGCGTCTGTCTCAGGTAACACTGCAGGTTATAACCCTAGCCAAAGAATTGGCTTTCGGCGAAAAGAGTTTAAATGATACCTCCCCCATCACCCGTATGACCTGCAAAATTTTTGAAAGGACAGAACGATATTTTGGCCATTCTTGTGGATTCTCCAAAGCCGACACTGCTGCTGAGCAATCAGTCCACACCTCACAGGAAGAGATATGAAGATCATGCAGACTTTGTAAAGTCCAGAGGATGCACTTGAGCTCTGCTGCAATCCTGCTGAATAAAGGCAAAAAAGCGTCCCGAGCGTGAAAGAGAGCATCACCCGTGTGAGTTCTTATGATCCATGCCCCTCCACAGAAACTTTCCTCATTTATCCAAGACGAATGTATATTGCACTTTAAGATTCCAACAGTTGGTTTAGTCCAATAATTACGGACTCGGGATCGATTCCTTGTGTCCCACGCTGTCTCTTGTGAAGTGCGTTGATTCTGTTGTATCCATTCCTCCGCTTCTTCTAAGGCCGTAGCGATAACAAAAGTGATGATCAAGAGTTCTAGCTGTGTATAATACAGAAATTCTAGCCTTCCAAATCTCCCATAGCAGCCATGGAATTGCAGTGCGAAACCGCGGATCCAACTCTGTCTTTCCAATCATGTCCATGACATATTCTAGATTTCGCGAAACAGAGTTGGAGAAACCTTGGCTTGGTAATGGGACGCTAAAATCAGACCAAACCTGGCAAGCCAAAGAGCAGGTGAATAATACATGAATCACCGTCTCTTCCTCTCTGTTACAAATTGAACACATGGGTTGTATGTTGAGACCATGCTTCCTTAAACACTCAACAACTGCTAAGGCCCCCCAGAAAGAGCACGCCATAAGAATAACTTGATTTTAGGAGCTGTTAGAATAGTCCAAATCTTTTCTTTGATCTTGTTTAAACTCTGAATATTTTCTGGGACTATCTCCATGGCTGTTGCTTCCCGTCCCAATACCCAGTTCCCTCTTTTGACAGAGTATCTTCCATCTTTTGTATATGCCCACACAAATTTGTCCTTTAAAGTCGGTGCCGGAGGGAATGAGCTAATCTGAGTAACATCACAAGGGGGGGGGAAAGCTCATTTAAACGTTGTAGATTCCAAGCTCCTTGAGTTGTTATCAATGACGAGACCTTGAGATTTAGATCCATCATCAATTCCTTATTAATCGGTCTTCGCGGGAAGACATCTCTGATCCACTTATCAACCCAAATACTTGTGTCAGCACCATCCCCCTATCGATTTCATTAGGCCTCGCTCTAGTAGTTCCCGACCAAACAAGATGCTTTTCCAAGCATACGACGGTCTATAGCCAATTTTTGCCTCTAAGAAACTTTTCGTAGCAAAATATTTGGCTTTATAAACACGGGAAACCAAGGAGT